CCCCCCCTTTTAAAATGCGGACACTGGGTCCGGACGCCGCATGCAGAGGGAAAATCCCCTCCCTGCTCCTGCTCGCTACGCCTCTGGTTACACACTGGCCCCCTGCCAAAGCACCGCACTGGGGGCACGTGGTGAGCCCCCTAAATGCTCTCCAGGGGCAGCCCCCCATTCCTAATCCACCTGCTGAGCTCTGGTCCTGCTGCACGGCGCTGGCGTGCGGTACCAGGCCCTGCGGTCGCTCAGACCCCCATCCCCTGCACTCACACTGCTCCTCCTTGGTGTAGTAGTACTCCTTGTCGATGACGATGTTCTCCTCCACCGTGTGGGACAGCAGCTCGAAGGAGTTCATCACCTCGATGTTCCGGCCCTCCTGCCGCCCGATCAGCGCCCCGATCACTGGCAGGCATGGTGGAGGGGGGTTACGGGGATCAGGACCCTCACGAGCTCCGACCCTCAGAACACAGGGGCCGGCTGTATCCCTGGCACGGCCCCCATAGGGCTAGCCTAACACCCCCCCCACAACCCATCCCAGCAAGGCCTGCCTGTCCCCTTACTCCCCACAGCTTAGATACAGGAACCCGTTTCTTTACGGCCTGGACCCTTCCTCCCTGGTTCAGTGGGTGAGGGGGGCACAAGGGCCCCCAGAGAGGGGGGGGTAACTTGTTCTAATCCTCAGCATGGCATGAATGCAGCCTTAAGCGGCAGAAGCCCCCACAGCCCCCGCCAGAGGTCTAGGGGGAAGGGGGCGCTGATTCCCAAGAGCGGATGCGAAGTGAACAGGGGGAGGGGTCGGCAGAGCAGCGCTGGACCCAGCCAGGTGACGGGAACGGGGGACACAGATGGGCCCTGGGCTGGTGGCTGCCAGAGCGGGAGGGGCACCGGGAGCCTTGGCCTGCGTCCAGGGGCCCCTGGGCTGGCGGCTGCGGGAGGAATGGGGGCACTTAGAGGCCAGGCCTGCGTCCGTGAGCCCCTGGGCGGGGGATTGCCGGGGGAGAAGAGACACCGGGAGCTTTGGCCTGCGTCTGTGGGCCCCTGGGCAGTCGATTGCCGGGGGGAGGGGGGGGTGCACCAGGAGCCTTGGCCTGCATCCGGGGGCCCCTGGGTAGGGGGCTGCCGGGGAGGGGGGGGCACTGGGAGCCTTGGCCTGCGTCCGGGGGCCTGGGCGGGCGAGGGGCGTCCGGGGGCCTGGGCGGGCGAGGGGTGGAGGCCGGTACCTTGCACGGGACGCCCCTCCTGCGAGCGCATGCGGATCCAGTGGTCGGAGATGTTGAGGATCACCAGCGGGTGCAGGGCCACCGAGACGCTGCCCGTCACGCCCGATGCCATGACGGTGGGGAGCACTGCGGGGGGAGGGGGGAGATGCAGTCAGTGGGGCAGGAGAATAGGAGGGCGATTGGGGGGAGGGAAACACTCAGGGAGGAAGGAGGGATGAGCCCCACTGTGAGACCCCTGGGTCCCTGCCCTCGCCTCGGGGGGAGGTCCAGGGGAGGGGAGGACCCTGCTGGGGACAGTCTTGAGGGGAGACCGGGGCAGGGTCTCCGTGGGGGGTGGGACCATGAGAGGGTTAGAGCCCCATAGGGAGGGGTTGGGGTCTCTGAGGGGTGTGGCACAAGGGGAAGGGGGAGGAGTCTTGGAAGGGGCGTGGCCTGAGGGGAAGTGAGGGGTGGGGGCCTCTGAGAGGGCGGGGTGGGGCCAGAGGAGCCTCGGTCTCCCCCCGGAGGAGTTCCTGAGGGGGCGGGGCCCGAGGGGGAGGGGCGGGGACTGCGCGCAGAGGGGGTCCCTGGGGGCGGGGCCCGAGGGGGAGGGGCGGGGACTGCGCGCAGAAGGGGTCCCTGGGGGCGGGG